AAGGCATACATATGTACATAAGTAGAATGCATAAGCGTAACACACGCTGTTCGTGTTCGTGTTTTTCTCTCTGTGTGTGTGTGTGTGTGTGTGGGTGCACTGGTCGTGTGCCGAAGCTGACGCTATGAGCGGCATTGCTGTAGTCCTCGCCAGACTTGGGGTTCAGTTAGCGCTCTCGCGACCGCTCAGCAGCCGCAGTTGCCGTTAGAATATCCCACAGGCCCTTTTTTATACAGGGAAATTCTCTGATCGCGCAAGAGAGACAGACACACAGAGAGAGAGTGAGAGAGCGCGAGAATGAGAGCGAGAGAACGAACAAGAACAAGAGTGAACAAACAAAACAGTCGACACGACGGCGCGACGACTTCGCTCTGAGTTGAACAACAGCAAAAACAGGGAATTTCTTGCTGCTGTCGCTGCTGCTGCTTCTGCTGCTGCTGGCCTTTTACGAATTCTATAAATCAGTCTTTCATTTTCTCTTTCACATCATTCAGCCATTTTCTCTTTGACGCGACGGACGCGTCTGCAGCTTGCAAACGGACGAACGGCAACGAAACGGGCAACGAGCGCACGAACAAACGCTTGGGAATTTGGTTTTTTGTGTGTGGATTAATTAAAACAATGTTCTGTGTTTCGTGTTCCCTGCTAGCATAAAATAATGCAAATGCCACAAAGTGCTCAAGAGTCACAAATGCAATAACAAAATGCACCAAGCGTGTTAAGCAAGCAAGCAGCACCACAAAAAGAAGAAGCAGAAAGAAGCAAACAAACGTGCGTGAGCTGTGATTCTGTCGAGTGCGTGTGTGCGTGTGTGTGTGTGTGTGCGTGTGAAACATTTAAGCTTTAAGCGCTGCCAGCGTGCGCTGCCGCTGCGCTTTGGATAGCCGCCGTCGACGCCAAACGTTTGGAGGAGCTGCTGTCTAACATTAAATGTTAGTATACCAACACAAGCATAGTCAAATATGTACACATCAACATACAAACAGCAAAAACAACAAGAACGAAACGTCTGCAAAGATGCGACGGCCTGTGTCTGTGTGTGTGTTAAAAATAAAAGTAATCAAAAGGGGGCAGCGATTACGTCGCCGTCGACGTTGTCGTCGCGTGCATTGCTCCCTCTCAGCTGCTGCGCATGTGTTTGTAGTTGTAGTAGTGTGTAGTGTGTGTAGTGTGTAGTGAAGTGTGTTTTATATACAAACATATTTATACTTATATACATACATACACATATGCATGCTTTGTATGTGTGTGTGTGTGTGTGTGTCAATTTTGTCAAACTATTACAGCGGTGCTTACATTTACATCATATGTTAAATAAACTGTTAACATTGCCCCTCTGTCCCCCGCTTGACGTTTGTTTTTGTTTGCCCACGCAAATATGCAATGATTTCTTACTCTCTCTCTCGCTCTTTTTCTTTTTTTTTTTTTTGTTTTGTCGCGCTTTGCCAACCAACCGCCGCGACCTCTCGCTGTGCGCTTTTCATTCATACCTTGCAAATGAAGCGTGCTCAATTGTGCGACGCGGGCGCGGGTGGTGGGTGGGTGCGGGGCTGGAATCTGTGTTGGGTGGTGGATACACACACACACACGCACGCAAATACTCAGGCGTCTTACAAGCGGAAGTGGAAGTTGCCTTATCTGTGTGTGTGTGTGTGTGTGTGTATCTAATGGGATTTTCTAATAAAATTTAAATTGTTGCCGTTTTTACTGGGCGTCCGCCTATTTATTTAATATGAAGTGTGTGAAAAGTGTGCAACGACATTGGGAAATGGAATATGAGTTCATAATTTACAAGCAAAAATGTTAACAGTCTAATAAATCGTCGGGAATCGACTGTTGAATATGCAATTAACAAACAGTTTTAAACAAATTACAAACAATGCAAATTGAATTCTGCAATAAATATCCTCCTGAAAAAGATAACTGTTAAAAGTAAGCAGGGAAATATGCCCCACAGCCGAAATAGCCTCGAGTGTAAAATTGCCGTCGCTAAAACATGAAAACAAAACAGAAATGAAGAAATTTAAGCAAGACAGTTTAAAACTAAGTTAAAGCTTCGAATTCATTTGGACTTCGATTGCTTAAAATAACAGTAAACATAATTTACAATATTTAACAATCTTCGAGTGGAAAAAACAATCGTGCATTTGTGAATAACTCGGCAATAATTGAAATATGTGAAAAAGTTCGGTTTGATTTAAAGAATTTCTGTGGTCAAAACGTGTTTTGAGCTGGATTTGTTAATAAAATATATAGGAAAATATAAAATTCAAGCATCAAAAGCTTATATCAAATGTAAACAAAAAGTTAACAAATTAAAAAGCACAGCAAGTCTTAAGAATAACTTATTTGGAGTAGAAATTGTGCAAAGGTTTAAAATGTATAAAAACGAAAAACTAAGGAATACGAGTTCTTCAGATTTCAACAAATGGTTTTTAATAAACAAAGCAAATAACATTCAATGCGAAACAAGAAAATGCAGACTTTTGTGTAAGAAACTTAACTTTTAAAGTAAAGTGCTTATATGTGAAAAATGTTAAAAATTCATTCAAATGAGAATATCACAAAACTGTTATTTAACAGATTTCCTTTTGAATGTGTGGACATTTGTTGATTCCAACTTAAGAGCTCACAAATTTACATGAAATTCTCCTGAAAATATCAAACACTGAAATCTTCTAAGAAAAACTGTGAGAAAAATAAACGATCTTAAGGAACTTAAACAACAAAAAAGACACTTTTTACATTGCTTCTGCTCGTAAATTTATTTGCTGTTAATGCTCGACATTAATAATACAAGAACAAAAAAAATAGTCTGTCTTAAAGGTAAACAAACATTTAACATTAACAAATATATTCATATAACATGCATATGTTTGTATGTATGTGTGTGCCTTTTAGATGTTTGCTTGTTATCTGAATATTAAGGGCAACATAAACGGAAAAACAGAAACCCTTAAGCAGAAACCTCATCAAAGTTAAGACCCTGCTCCCGAACACAGTAAAACAACAACAATAACAGCGGCTTAACATTAATCCCAACTTTTAACGATGCGTTTAACAGGAATGTTAGTTAGCACAGGCAGCAGTAGAGGCAGGTCCGTCCGCCGTCCCGTCAATCCAAAAGTCCAAAACGCCGCAAGTACAGGGAAATTCTACGGTCACATAAAAGGCTAATAAAATATTTTACAAATTCAAAGCCGTCATAAAAATGTCGAAAAAAGAAACAAAACAAAGAACTTTATATGAAAATTCAAAATCAAGTGCAATCAGCAGTGACAACAACAACAACAGCAACAGCAACAAAAGCAAATACAGCGACTGCATACAAAATACAAAAAAAATACATACATATACTAAAGCAAATAAAAAAAAAAAAACAAACTGACAAGCGAATGGGCAAAGAGCGCAGCACAAGTGCATATGTTAATATGCCTGTGTATGTGTGTGCGTGCGTGTGTGTGCGTGCGTGCGTGTGAGTGTGTGAAAAAGCCTCACGCTCAACGCTTTTTATTAATTCTGTTAAATATGCACACATAAAAAAAAACAGAAACAAGAATTTCAAACAAACTCCGCGAAGGGTGAAGGGTGGAGGGGGGGGTTCACAAAAGCAACGGCGCTGCTGCAGCGCTGCCTACGTGCAAGTCGCCGTTGCCGTCGCAGTCCATATTCCACTCTGTACCCCCCTCCCTCCCTGTCGCATGGACAACACAAAACGGCACTCTGCCTGCCTGCCTGCGCCTCTGCTACCTGAAACTGAAATTTTCCCGCATTAGAATGCTCGCGTTCCTTGTTGTTGTTGTTGTTGTTGTTGGTTGGTTGGTTGCACGCGGACGACGACGTCGACAGACAATCAGCGGGACAGGCGGATAGGCAGAGAAACACAGACGGACAGCACAGAAAGCAGCAGCAGCAGCAGCAGCGACAACAACAACAACGAGGAAAAAAAACACGCTGGCAAAAGGGCATGGAATGGGAGTTGATTTTATTTTTCTTCCTTTTCGGCTGCTGCTTCTTCGCGTTATGCTGTGTGTAGTATTATTTTTTTTGTTTACCTTATGCTTTCGTTTATCGACCCGTTTTTGGTTTTGTGTGTTTTTGTGTGCTACATATGCGTTTCTTTCGCTCTTTCGCTCGGTCTCTTATTCGTTCGTTTGCTCGCGTGCGCCGCTCTCACAGCAACAGCAGCAGCATAATCGCAGCCTGCATGCTTATGTATCTTGTCTCTCTCTCTCTCTCGCCTTTTTCCATTGCTTGCTCGCTCTGGTTTCTTAATTTTACTTCACAAAAGGCACTAATAGGACGTTTGTTTTCTTATTTGTTTGTCAAGTGTGTGTAAAGAACATACATTTGTGCACGTCATTTTAATCTCTATCAAAAACCCTGTATTTAATTAAATTGACGTGCATTAACATACTATTTTAACATAACATTACACTGTGGCCCTTAACATTTCAAATACAAGCGCCATGGCTTGACCAGTCCATAGCAAGCAGCTTCGGCGCGCCGTGCTGTTAGCGTGCTGCATGCCGTTTTCGATTGTTTGGGAAATTTCACAGCTGTTGTGGCCATTGTGAACGCTTTTAACAGCGCGCTAGTGATGCGCGTTGCGTTCAACACTGTTAGCTAACAGCAAATAAAAAACAAGTCGAATGAAAAAAAAACCTTAACGAATTGTTATTGTGATTATTATGTTTGTGCTTGTGGTGGCCAGAGAAATGCAGCGAACATGAATTAAAGTGCACATGAAATGTGTGCCACATAAAATTCATTGGCTGCACTTGTGGGGCAACGGCAACGGCAACAACACGCGTCAGAGGTTGCCCCCATCAAAAATAACACACACAGCGTCCGCCTGCCAGAAGGTGTGGCTGTAGCGCATTCATATTTGTTGGTATTTGTTGGCTCTTGAATTGTTTTTTTTTTTTATTTTTATTTTATACTCTTTTTTTTCTATCCGTTCTCATGCATTTTCTTCGATATTTTGTTGTGCTTTGCAGCGGCGTTGCCACCTCGCTAAGCTGCGCGGATTCCAGCACAGGCTCCAGTGAGGATGCATCCGAGCCCGGCTCACCGTACAGTGCGCACTCGCTATTGAGCGACGAGCAGCAGCTTAACAAAATGCCGCCACAAATACTCAGCGCTGCCGCAGGCAGCAGCAGCAGCAGCAACAACAACAACAATAATACTGCGACAGCAACAGCAACTGCTGCACCAACAGCAGCAGCAGCTGCAACCACAGCGAATGCAATTAGAAGCAACAGCAACACTGCCAAAATCACAGCCACAGCAACAACAGCAACAGCAATCACACAACGCAGCAGCAGCAACAACAGCAACACGACGCCGCCTACGCTGCAATGGCCCTGGAACACGAGCCTGGGCAGCACCTCAACAGCTGTGCCTGCTGCTGCCAGCGCCGCAGCCGCAGTCGCCTCGAAGAAGCGCGCCGCTGTCAACAGCAGCAACAGCAACGGCAGCAACAGCAGCAACGATGCCAGCGGCTTGGCCTGCATCGCTGTGGCGCCCAAGAAGTTGCGCGCGGATTTGCAGAGCGGCAGCAACAGCAACAACAGCGGCGACAAAAGACTGAAAGCAGCTGCCCTGGAGGAGTCACAGACCAAGATCACGGGCTTCTTCAAGTCGCAAATGAAGGCGACGCCGGGCAAGCTGTCGGCGACGCCGTCGCCGCCGCCGCCACAAGCAACAGCCACGCCCAGCACGCTGACAATGAGCACGCCAGCAACAACAGCCTCGCTAAACAAATACTTTAACATACTCTCGCAGCTCAATGAGCAAAAGCAGCAGCAGCAACAGCAGCAGCAGCAACAACAGCAGCAACAACAGCAGCAGCAGCAGCAACAGTTGCAGCAGCAACAGTTGCAGCCCAAGCTAACAACAGCTGCTGCGACTGCTGCGACATTGCCCGTGCCAGCGCTCAAGAAAATCGAACGCAGCAGCAAGCAGCCCGCCAAAATTGCCCAAGTGGCGCCCAATTTACGCAAGACGCCCAGCAGCAACAGTCACGCCCACAACACACATGCCGCCGCCCACTCGGGCACCGGCAAATCGCCCGCCAAAAAGCACGTGGCCATTGCGCCGCGCACGCCCGAAATGAAGCAGCAGCAGCAACAGCAGCAACAATTGCAGCTGCAGGCCTCCAAGACGCTGCTCGCAGCAGCTGCCTATCGCGCGCCCCACAACAGCAGCAGCAACAACAACAACAGCAACAGCAGCAGCAGCAGCAGCAATGCCAACAACAACAACAACAGCAACAGCAGCAACACGACAACAACAATTGCTGCCAAGCCCTGCCAGAAGCTGCAGCCCGCTGCCGTAGCGCCCACAGCCACGCCCACGCCCAGCCCCACGCTATATCAGCTGCCGGTGCAGCTGCCCAATTTGGTGCATCTGCCGCCGCAGCTCGCCGCCGCCGCCAACATAATGCAGCTGAACAATGTGGCCAAAGCGGCCGTCGCCGCCGCTGCCAGCAACAATGCGGCTGCAGCAGCTGCCTCTGCGCAGGCGGCACAAGCGGCAGCCGCCCAATACTTTCTGAACGGCACCGTCTTCAAGCTGCAGCAGGTGACAACGGCAACCACGGCGACGGCAACAACTGCCACAGCAGCAGCGACCAGTGCGGCCGGCGTCAATCCCTTTGGCCTGCTCAGCGCCAACGAGCTGCAGGAGCTGCTGCTCAAGCAACAGCAGCAGCAGCAGCAACAGTTGCAGCTGCAGCAAGCGGCGGCTGTTAAAGCAGCAGCTGCGGCTGCCACGCCCACTGCGAATGGTACTACCAACTTGCAGGAGCTGTTTCAGCAGCAAATAGCCGCAGCCATTGCCGCACAGCAGCAGCAGCAGCAGCAGCAACAACATCAGCAGCAGCAGCAGCAGCAGCAACACCAACAGCAGCAATTTCAGCGCTTGGGCGCCGCCGCCGCAGCGCAGCCCGTTTTTATGGCCACGCCCGCGGGCCTGCTGCTGAATGCGGCCACGCTGCCGGCCATGTTGGCACAGGCGGCGGCAGCAATTGCTGCTAACAGTCAGCAGCAACAGCAGAAAGTAGCTGCCGCTGTGGCCCTGCAGCATCAGCAGCAGCAGCAACATCATCAACAACAGCAACAAGCGCTGCCTGCGCTGCAGCCCATACCCGCCTTGAGTTCCATATTTGAGCCTGCCACCGAGCAGCAGCAACAGTTGCAGCTGCAGCAACAGCAGCTGGCGCAGTTGCTGTTCTCACATCAGCAGCAGCAACAACAGCAGCAGCAGCAACAACACCACCAGCAGCAGCAGCAACAACAACAACAACAACTTATCACTGCCACACAGCCTCCGCCGCTGACTGCTGCGAACAGCAGCAACACTGCCAGCAGCAACAGCAATGCCTCGAATACTTTAAGCAACAACAGCAACACTGCCCTGCTGCCGCAGCAACAACAGCAGCAGCAGCAACAGCAACAACAGCAACAACAACAGCAACAACGTGCCATCATCAAGGGTCCGCCCCCGCTGGTAACCATCTCGACCGCCTCCTCCCTCAGCACAGCTGCTGCCAAGTCACGTGCGCTGCCCGCCGCCCTGGCCAAGCCCTATCAGAAGCGAGCGCCGCCCACGCAACAGCAGCAGCAGCAGCAGCCGCCACTTAGCAAAACCAAATATGCAGCAATTGCCACGCCCACAACGCCGCCTCCTCTGGTGCCGACCAGCACGGGGGCTGCTGCTGCCGCCGCCAACAAGGAGCTGCAGCAACTGCGCAAAGGTGCCACGCCCGCAGCAACAACAACAACGCCCACGCCGCCGCTGGTAAGCATAGCGCCCGCCAAGCTGACGCCAACGCTCAGCATGGCCAAGCAGCAGCAACAGCAGCAGCAACAGCTGCTGTCGCAACAGCAACAGTTGCCGCCAGCAGCAGCAGCGGCAGCAACAGTTGGCAAGATCTCAAGCACCGCTGATCTCTTTGATCTGGTCAAGAACTCAAATGGCGCCATCAGCATTGTGGGCAAGACCACAGCCACTGCCACGGCCATGTGCACAACTCCCGCCCCCAGTCCGTTGACGCCGCTGCCCTTCAGTTCGCCCAGCAGCAATAGCAATAGCAATTGCAACAGCAACAGCAATTCGCAGCAATCGCATCGCGCCTCGCCCGCACTCTCCACACACTCGTCCAGCACACTGTCCGCCTTTGGCAAATCCCTGGTGGCCATCAAGTCGGAGCCCATGGAGGAGTCAACCACGCCGCCGCCGCCGCTGTCCAGCACGCCCAAGCCGCACAGCTTTGCCGGGCAGCTGCCCAATGCACGACGCGTGGAGCCCCACAAGCACGAGCTGCTCGCCGAGTGCAGCGGTGGCGGCTCCAACTCCAACTGCAGCAGCAGCTACACCAGCAGCAGCTCGGTGAGCAGCGCCGCGGATCTCTCGCTGGAGGCATCGACGCCCGCCTCGCTCAGCTCGGCGCCATCGCCGGCGGCGAGCAACAGCAGCAGCAGCAGCAGCAGCCAGACGCAGCAGATGAGCTCGCCGGAGGGACATGCCAGCCAGCAGGATATGCTCAGCGAGCTGGTCACCTCCTGCAATTCTAGCGGCACCGAAGACTGCTCCCAGGCAGCCATAACGCCGCCAGCAGCCGCCGAGGTAGCAACAGTTGCTGCGACTGCCGTCACAACAGCAACTGGCGGCGGCAGCAGCAGCAGCAGCGGCAGCAGCAACTACGACGAGGAAGATGACAAATCGGTGGCCTCCTCCGAGACGGCCACGCACAAGCGACTGACGCCCGAATCCGGCATTGGCGGCAGCCTCAGCAACAGCGAGAGCAGCAACTCCATAGCGGATGCCATGTAAGTGACAGCAGCAGCAGCAGCAGCAGCAGCAACAACAGGTCGATCTAATTGGGTTTTACTCTTTCGTAATCGCAGCTCCTCGAAATCGGTTTGCCCGCCCGCCTCGGCCAGCAGCAACAGCTGCAACGCCTCCGACAGCAACTCGTTGGCCAGCAATGCGCCCTCACCCGCCTCGCCCAGCAACAACAGCAACAGCAACGACGATTGCTCCGCCTCATCGCCAGCCTGCTTGGCTGTGGCCAGCCCGAGCACCATGGTGGATACAACATTGGCCGAAAGCGCCAGCAAATTGATGCCCAAGTGCGCCATTTCGCCGATTCTGTCACAGCCCAAGACGATACGCTTTCCGGCCGGCGCTGGAGCAGGAGCCAAGGGAGCGAAGCGGCATGATGGCGTCTGCTATTGGGACAAGTGCAACAAGAAGCATGAGAGCAACTCGAAACTCTTGGACCATATGCAGACGCATCATGTCAACACGCAGACGGGTCCCTTCGCCTGCCTCTGGGTGGGCTGTAAGGTGTACAATAAGGAGTCCTGCTCCCGTCGCTGGCTGGAGCGCCATGTGCTCTCGCACGGCGGCTCCAAGCAATTCAAGTGTATCGTCGAAGGCTGCGGCCTGCGCTTTGGCTCACAGGTAAGTAAAGAACCAAAATACCAACAATTATCAATGCCAGTTCGGCCTCTAACCCGGCTCTCTCTATCTATTCCCCCGTAGCTGGCACTGCAGAAGCATGTGAACAATCACTTCAATGCCACGGACAATGCCAAGGAGAGCACCAGCAAACGCACCTCCGATCCGCCGGTGCCCAAGCAGCTGCGCAAGAATGGCAAAAAGCTGCGATATCGCCGGCAACCCTTCTCAGGTGAGTGCCGCTGCTTGCGAAGTGGGCAACATTTCGATTCTATAGAAATATATACAGAAAACTGGAAATCATTCAAACTGGCTTTCGGATCAGTTTAGAGTCAGCATATTTCAAAAATCGTTCAATTTTTTTTAAAATTAATATGCTATCGATTATTAATTATTGCTATTAGCTGAGGCTAGCGATAAGTTTAGCTATCGATAACTATATTTACTGCTTTTTATCGATAACTTAAGCCAGCTTTAGATAAATTTGCAGAAACAAATGAAATTATCGATAAATCTTGTGTTGGTATTAATAAATAAATTTTGTGACAAATTTATCGTGCAATAAGTACATATAAATAATATTTACCGAAAGCTAAGGATAGCTATAGATTATTCAGTTTTGAGATATATATTTCGTTTCAAAGTACAAAATATCGAATATGAATATGATTTAAATCGTATTATCGACTATTAAGTAGACCAATTTCTAACCTGAAACAAACTGTATAATCGACTGCTTTGATTGTTTTTTAACTATGAAAAGTATCGAATACGGATGATAAAGGTAAGGCGAAAATACTGATTTATCGATCTTTATATTGAGCCCTATCGATGGATAAAAAACATGGAAAGAATTTGCTTTTCCTAAATCTATCTAATCATAACTTCAGCATCATTTAAATGCTATGTAAATGGAACTTTACACCAGATTGATTTCGATAAGTTGCAATCGAATACATCTCTTTTTTTTTTTTTTTTAATTATGATTTGTCTGAACCCATTGAGGCGCCATGAAAGTTGCGATAACAGCAAACAATATATTCAAAATCGATAAATGTTCAATAATTTGAATCGACAAATATTCGATTACACTTTCCGTTTAAATGTGTTTGAAATTCGATTAGACATGATTTCTCATTTTTGAGTGCTTGAATCTGTGTTGAAATATTGATTATTCAATTATTTGTGTTCATGCTCTGTGTATTTTTTTATTTGTCGATAAATATGCCATTTAAAATTGTACCAAATCTAATTATGGCCTTTTATTGCCGCAGCGCGCATGTTCGACTTCTTCGACACGGGCATCATGGAGGGACTGCAGCATCGGCTGCGCCAGATCAGCACGCTGACCAACGGAGCCCAGGCCATCACGTTCCAGGGACAGTGCCTGATGCGGCGGCGCAACAGTCGAGGCGGGAGCGAGTGCTTTGTGCGCTGGTCACCGCGTGAAATGTGAGTTCTAATAAATTCCAAGTGGGCAGATTTATATTCATATCTATCTGTGTCTATTTAGCATCTCGGATGAGTGGCTGCCGGAGTGCCCGAATCGGACACGCCAGCACACCAAAGTGCTGCACATCAAGCACATGCGTCCGGCGGAGAAGACGCGCATCGACAGTCTGCTGAGCACAGCCTATAGATTGCGCTACGATGCGCAGCTCTTTGCGGATGATTACAACGTAAACGAGCAGCAGCTGCAGCTGCAACAGCAGCAGCAGCAGATGCAAATGGAGGAGGAGCTCAGCGGCAGTGATTGTGCCGAGAGCGATGCTGATGAGGAGGAGGAGGAGGAAGATGATGAAGATGATGACGACGACGATGATGATGATGATGAGGACGACGGCGTCTCGGGCACAATCAGCTCGAGCAGCGGCACCGTCTCCAGCTATCAGCAGGTGCTCAGCATAGCAAAGCTGCAAATGCAACAGCGACGCAAGCATCCGCGCAAGCCGCCCAAGTCGACAGCAGCCACAGCCACAGGCACAGGCGCAGCGACGATAAAAGTGGAAGAGCTGGTGCCCACAGATGCCCTGGTGCCCATTTAGAAAGTATTTACAAAGCCCACACACACGCCCCACACACACACCCGCAAGGACAAACGAGTAAACAGTGACAAGTAGTTTATAGATTTTTTTATAAGGCCACTCAAACAAACCCAAAACTATCATAAACATGCACACATACACATGCATACTATATCATAAGATCGTGTAACATACATATACATATATATATATATATATACATATATGCCCGCTTGCAGTTTTTAGATAAATCCCGCAAAATGACCATAGCAAATGTACATAGAAATCGCTTCAATATCAAACCCAAAAAACAAATTTTAGAGTTTTTGTGTAAACCCTTGTTTTAAATTAAATTTAAATTTTATTTTATGTTGCTGAAGACAAATATATCTAGCCTATATATACCGCATAAACTTAATTAGTTTTAAGCATAACATTTATAACAACTTTATGTAAATTGTGAACTGCCTGAGAGAAGAGGAAGAGAGCCTAGGACACCGCCGCAGACAAGACTTTATTTAAACATATTTATCATCTTCATTATAGTTTAGGCTTAGGCTTTTATTGTTTTTCCCTTAACTTAGACCCAAACATTTTACTGTATTCGAAAAACTTCCAAAACGCACAAACAACATCAACAACAACAACAACAACAACATGAATAAGACTTGAAGCATTTATCGCTATATAATTAAACTATAATTAAACGAATTCATGTACTCAATTCGAAGAGCAATGCAAAACAGTTTTAAGTTCGTTTTAGCAAAACAGCCGCAAGCGAAAGCAAACATTTAGAAACAACAAAATATTAAGTAATAATATTTTAAACAAATTAATTTAGTCCAAATTTTGTATGTAATTGTCGTCTAGTTCGTTTTCCGAGTAACTTCTGTGTAAATATTTAAAAGTAATTAATTAATTTGCGTAAGCATTACACGTAAACAATTTGAATTAGAAAACAAAAATAAAAAAAAACCATTACAAGCTATTTTTTTTTTTTTTTGTTTGTGTTGTTTGGTAAACATTTAATTTCGTTTATTTGTTTAACTAACTTTGTTTTGTATTAACTTATTGTTGGTTTGGTTTTTATGTATGTACACAGATTTGTTTGTTGATTTTTAACACACAGTCACTTATGTCACAAGGTCAAGGTCAATGTCAATGTCAAGTTCAAGTCAAATCTAGCAGAGTTCGCCTTAAACAATAGTTATTTAATTGAATTTGTAAGTGTTTAAAGTTTATAAACTTAACCTAAAGTAAGTTATGCAAATCACAAAAATACTTATAAAAAGGAATATAATACCCTATCAAGTACTCAACACTGCCAAAGCGAAATGAATACAACAACAGCAACAACAACAACAACAACAACAAACAGTTTAAGATCGACTGATAAATGTATAAATTAAAACTTAAAGATCATTTATATATACATACATATATATATATATATATATACATAGGTCTGATTTCGCACAAAGCTTTTTCATATGTTGCAATAACAATAATAAGGCATATAGCAATTCCAAATAAGTATATTAACTATAAATAAACAATATATGTGTGTGTTGTAGCCCTATACTCGAAGACTTAGTAATGCTTGGTTAGTTAGTACCCTTCCCGCCCCGTAGGCCCCGCTAGCCTGCCCATGTCTATTTCGAGTACTTAAACTAGTTTTAAGCGTCTAGCTGCAAACTGTATACAAGAATCATATGCAAGCATATACCATACATCAAATATATATATATATATATATATAGAGAGAGAAAGATATAGATATATATGTGCGTAGTTAACATGCCTTCAAGTCCGGGCATAAGTTTTATGGCATAATATTATGATACTTCCGTTCAACTAATTTGTTTTTAAATGGATGAGGCAAAAGTTGCATTTTGTAAATGTTGTAGGCTATTCATATATATATATATATACTATATATATATAAAGAAAAGAAATTGAAAGCAATACCTTTTAACAATCGCCTATATAAGGTTCGGAGTTCAAGCAAATATTTTTCGGATTGCCTAACATGAGATTCTTCGATATTTTGTACCGCAAAGAAAACGTAATGAGAGAAAATTCAAATTGAAAAAAAAAAAATATATATATATATATAAGGATATATATATATATTTAAAGATATATAAAACTACCTCAGATTTTTGCAAAACAAAACAAAAATTAAAAAAATAAAAAGAAAAAAGAAAATACAAAGTACATAGGAATTTTTCGAGACAAGTTTTCTAAAGAACCTTAATGATAGACACTATATTTAATATATGGTTAGCTGTCGTCAAATTCAGCCGAACAAGGGAACGTATACAAAGCAACAACAACAACAACAACAACAAAAACAACAAAAACATTGAATATAAAGAAAGACAAATTAAGTACTCATAATACTTAGGTTAAAAATATAAAAAAAAAAAATAAAAAACAGCATATTTTGCGTATTTTGCTAATATTATGTAAGCGCAATTCTTAGAATACTTAAGCTCCAGTTCTAGAACTTCCCAAAACTGTTTTTGAACATTTCTCGATTTCCACACTGCCCGAAAATCATCGAAAGATTCCATTTAACTTCCAATTTGCGAAAACCTTTTTTCCAAAACCAAAAAAAAAAATACAACAACAACCTTTGCCTTCTTAATGCCATTTCGTTTTGTACATAGTTAATGATATACAAGGAATCCAATTATATATATATAAATATATATATATATCATAAAGTAAATTACCAATAATGCAAGCGCTTTAATAAATTAAAAACAAAAATCAAGCATTACAAAATACTAATTAAAAAAATCAATTTCAAGTTAGCAAAGCAAATGAAGAACATACGTCTGTATCGTATTTCAGAACCTATGAATTATTTTAGAGCTCGCCAAGCAAACAAATTTGATTTTACATACAGTTTCTGGCCGAGAGACCAGGCCAACTAATGTAATCAAAGCAACATTCTTTGAAAGAAGATATAGATATAGATATAGATATATATATATATATATATACCTATATATATATTATATAAACTCTACATATACACAATTTAGTATGTACAAGTGGAACAGACAGTAACAGAAACATGTAAACGCTGAGAAGAGAAAATATATAGAGGCAAGAAATATTGAACAAGTTGGCGTATTATTTTAGTTAAGTGCAAAAAGGTAAGTATCTTTAACTATTTGTGCTTCTAAGCCACATTCCCATCGTTTGGCACTCAAGGTCCTCTGAAAATTGTCCCTGAATGCATGATTTTTGTTCCAGCAGCCGTTTTACATTAACAGCACCTTAGCAGCCCGCTTTACAGCACTCCTCTTACATGAACAGCAGTGTTAACAGCCGGCTGTGCAGCATCCCTTTAACATGCGCTGCAGCTGCTACTTAACAGTCGACTGTTATGCATGTTAGCAGCAAGCTAACATTTATGCCCCTTGCGCGTATGCAATGAAAATTTGTTTTCGAATTTTTGTCGACCTGCTGCTGTTTCTGTTCGCCTGGTACTTCAGCCAAATTTTCATATAAATCTCGTCCGGACAGCCGAAACCAACGGCGCCCCTTGAGGGTATGCAATGAAATTTTGTTCTGCTAATTTTTTGTCGACTTGCTTGTCATTTCTGTTTGCCTGGTATTTCAGCCGAATTTTTAGAAAAATCTCGTTACACAGCGACCGCGACTTAGTGTCATTGCGACCGTTAATATTTGAAAATTCATTGCACACAGTGTACAAAATCCGCGATATCTCGGTAACTACAAGGACGATTTGGATGTCCTTTGGCCAGTTGATAGTCCTTAAATATACGGTTTATTTGAACAAGGACTTGTCGGGATACGCAAGGATACGGCCGAGATAAAGCTCATTTTCTTTACAAAAAGATGTCCTTATGTCAGCCCTCCGTGAAGGATTTTCGTCCTTATGACTTTATACTCGGAATGGGCACCACAAACACTGTGTGTTGGCCGAAGGACATCAGGATGACCATTAAAATGGCCAAGTTATGGCCAAATTTCTATTCCATGCAGTAGAGCATATTTTTCAGAAAAACAGCCATAACTCGGTCATATCCTTGCGGATTTTCAAAGGACATGCTGCGTTGGACTCGTAAGGACCAGCCGCATCGATCTGCATCAAAAAATTGGGGGGTCATCTAAGAATCCAGGACTTGTCGAAATTTCAGTTGCGGGCGGCACGAAAATAGACCAAAAACACTAAATCCTTGATATCTAGGAAACTACAAGGACGATTTTGATGTCCTTTGGCCAGATGATAGCCCTGGTCCAAACAATTCATTTGACATATGACTCGCCAGGATACGCAAGGATACGGCCGAAATATAGGCTATTTTTAGTTACGAAAATTGACATATTTGCTCCGCCATCTGAAGGACTTTCGTCCTTTTTTTTGCTAATCCTTAAATGGGATCGCAAGAGCTATATACTGGCCAAAGGACATCCCGATAGTCCTTCAAATGGCCGAGTTAGGTCGGATTTTTTCGATTTTGGGCACTTTTGCGACCAAACCCCTTGACAAATTTTTAACGAAATTTTTTGTCGAATCCTGGAAATTCTTGAATGCCAATCGATAGTTCTGCTTTCCACGAGTTCAAAAAGGCATATCCTTTCGAAATCCTGCAGGATTTGGCCGAGTTATGGCTTAAAACAAAATGTCCTTTTCGGAAAAATAGCCATAATTCGGCCAAATCCTGGCGTATCCTGACGAGTCATGGGTCACATGATGCGTATTGTCCAGGACCATCAAATGGCCAAAGGACATGCAATTCGTCCTGGTAGTTTTCGATTTATTCAGGATTTTGATTCTTAATAAATGTCCTTTTAGGTAGGGAACGGTGAATTGGGCGTGAGAGGGGGGGGGGGGGTGGAAGAAAGCTGCACCGTGTGCACATCCTTTTGCAACACCTGTAAAATATGTCCTAAATACACAATATCAAAATAAACCGAGTTTTTTTTTGGAAATTAGAAATTACAATTTATTTCATACAATGTCTGTTGTTTGTTGTTGTTGTTGTTTTCGAATACACAGTTACAGTAGTTGCTCTAAAACCCTTCATCGATCGTACATATATATATATATATATATATTAATATATATAGGTGTAAGTGTGTGTGTGTGTGTGTGGATGTACAGTAATTGGAGAATGCAAATAACAATAAAAATTCGTAACAATATGCCCACGCAGCAACAACAAATACGCGGCCCTATCGAACCGCAAACTCTGCCCCAGGCCCCCTCCCCCTTCCGTGCAAAGTGAACGCAACACGGGCGCTGCAACTCTGTGGGGCGGTTGGGAGGTGGGCGGTGCGCGGTCTTACAAAGCTTTATATACAAATTCTGCTTTTCGCTCTGCTTGTTGTTGTTGTTGTCTTTTTGTGCATTTGTTTTTGTTGTTGCCTGTGGTCTGCGCGGTGGAGCGGCTGCGTAGGTGTGTGTGTGTGTGCGTGTGTTTGTATGTGTGTGGGGGGCGTGGCTTAGTGGGCGCCCAGCTGCACGGGTTGGTCACCTCCGCGTTCTCAGCATCACGAATGCATCGGCGGCCAACGGGCAGGGGTGCTCTTGCCACGCCCACCGGCCAAGCACACACAATATTCCAGCTGCAGCACGTTGCAATTGTTGTTGTTGTTGTTTTTGTTGTTCATCTTATTGTTATAACAATATACAAATTGTTGTTGCTATTTGCTAGTATACAAATCGAGTTGTTGTTGTTGTTTTAGGTTTTTGCATAACTTCTAATTTGTTGGGATTTTACAATTTTTTTGTTGCATTTTTCAACGTTGATTTTGTTGTTGTTGTTGTTGTCAACGTTTTGGTTTTTTTTTTCGTTTTTGTTTTGCTTGCACGACTTTTGTTGTATTGGTTGTTGTTTACAATTTTGCTACTACAATTTCATGTTAATATTTTATACATAATATATATTTTATATATATAATATTTTTTTTTTCTTCTTTACTATACAATAACAGCGGAAAAATTGCGTGTGTGTGAAATTTTCATTTACCATTTTTTTTTATCATGCTCTTGATTTGTATTGTTTTACTTTTCTTTGCATTTGTTTATAACAAGTTTTTCATGTTAATATGTATAATTGTTTATCATTCTCGTTATAATATATATGTATATATATATATATATTGTGTATATATATTATGTATATCAATACCGTAATTGTTTTTTGTTTTTGTATTTTGTATTACAATTTTTTATGTATTTTCTTATCACAAAAAAATCATAATTATATATATATATAATTTATTATTATTAATTTTTAATATATTATTCTTAGAATTGAACAATAATTAAAAATAAACATAGGACTTAGTTACATTTTGTATGCGTGTGTGTGTGTGTGTGTGTGTGTTGGCGTGTGTGTGTGTGTTTATGATTGTATGTAGTTGGTTTTTGTTGTTGTTGTTGTTTGCAGTTGTTGAAGTATTGCCAAGTAATTATTTGTGTCTTTTTGCCCGCCAACAACTTTGCCTTTTGCGCGTGGTGGCAACGCCAGGCGGCGACGCCAGTGTTGCCCAACGCAGCAAGTGCAGCGCAATTGTTGGTTCGATAATGCTTTGATTTATTTGTTGTTGTTTGGCCCTTTTCGCTAAATTTGTTGTATGCAAATTTACAATTGTTGTTGTTGTTGTTTTTCTTTACAGAGTTTGTTAACGAATTTTACATATACACTAAACATTATTTAATAATAATAATGGAAAAAACAAATAACAAAGAGCACACGTTTTGTGGAGCGCAAAAAAAATAAAATAAAGATATAGAAAAGTAAGAGACAAATTTGATATTTGATTACAACTTTATGAACTTATGAACTGCAAAATTGTTTTGAACGGAAAATATAAAACTAAACTAAACAGTGGGCCAGCAATTTAGGCGAATGTGCAAAGTAAACATTCAAATTGAATAACAAGAAATTATAAATTGTTGTTGTTGTTTGTTGTTGTTGCATTATTAGTTGTTGTTATTCTTGTTGTTGTACACACTAATGCGCGACAATATGGCAACACTGGCGCCCAACTCATCAATTGCAGTTATTTGTTATTGTTTTGTTTTGTTTTCTTTTTTTTTTTTTGTTTTTTGTTGCTATATACAAACGGCCACCAGAGTTGCCACCAAAACGCGTTTTGAATTTGTTGTTATTGTTGGATGGTTTTCAATTTGATACACTTTTTACTTGCAGTTGTTGTTGTTGTTGTTGTTGTAGTTGATGTTGTTGATTGCTGGGCTGTTTGTCTACTTGTTGTGTGTGTGTGTGTGTTGAATTGATTGATTTATTTCGTGTACAGGTAAATGGCCACAATCAAGCCGTAGAGACCCAACACCTCAGCGAAGATGAGAATCAGAATCATGCCGACAAACAGACGTGGCTGCTGTGCTGTGCCACGCACACCGGCATCGCCCACAATGCCGATCGCAAAACCGGCTGCCAGGCCCGAGAAGCCCACAGACAGGCCGGCGCCCAAGTGAATGAAGCCCCTGGATAGAACAGATGAGTTTAAAGAAACAAATTCATATTCATTATTTTAGTAACTAACTTGTATAGGGTGTAATTGGCCGGCAAGTCCAGTTGGCCGGCAATCAGCACAGCGACGACCAGACCGTAAATGGCAATGATACCCGCCATGACCACAGGAATGATGGATTTCATGATCAGTTCAGGACGCATCACTGACATGGCAGCAATACCGGTACCAGACTTGGCAGTGCCATAAGCGGCGCCGAGTGCTGCATAGAGTTAAGAGGAAAATTTCGTTAGATTAGTGTGTCAAAATAAATAAAGAATAAATTTCATCAATTTGTTTTCTTCCACATGAAAAACACCCTGTATTCTGCCAGCTAAGACAACTCTTTTTTTTTTTCATAGCTATGCTTCAATGGGGTCGCTCTGACTGGAAAGCCTTGAGTGTTTCGGCTAGCATACGCGTTACATAATAATAAATGGGTTAACACTGGGGCTGGAACGCCTTAAGCGTTCTTTTTTGTTTTATCTAATTGGACTGCAATGCACGTTATGTCATCGATCATACTTTCAAATAGCTCCTACATCGAAAATCATGTTAGCGTAAAGCGGAATTCTGTAAAATAACGTAACATTTAGCGGTCACATGACCCAACTTAACGAAAAACACACACATACACATACATACATATATAACTACTCAACAGAGTCAGAGTTGTCGTTTGAGTGCTTTATTTTTTTTTTTTTTTTGTGCACTCTCTCGTATTTGCTGTTGCTGCTCTCATTACGATATATTCATTTGATAAGGTCGAGTAAATGTGAAGAAGCCAAAGTGCTAGAGTTGCCGAATAGCTCTGACGAATGTTATATACGCATGTGTATGTACATATGTATGTATGTATGTATGTATGCACGCGCATTGAATATTGAAATATAAAACCAGTTTCATATGACGGTCAATGGTATTTGTTAAAAAAAAACACACACACACACACACATTTTGTTTGCGTTTGTGTGTGTGTCTGTGAAGCGCTAATAAATCGAATTAAAACACGCATACAGTTGCGTATATAAAATGCTGGCAGGCTAAAAAAAATAACAACTGCACATCTGTATGTAAAAAGGTAAGCGTGTGTGTGTGTGCGACGTTTCAGAGTTAACGTTAATGGCATTTGCCGCTACGACAGCTGAGCGTAAATGAGTGAGTGAGAGCGAGCAATGGAGCTACAGTCGCTGCCTGCGCTAATTGGCACTGTCATGTGACATTTTGATGCTAATTAACTGTATTTTCCAGTCAAATTGATATTCTATCGGTGCGAATTAAATGAAGGGCTCGCTAAAATACTTATATGCACAAAAAAAAAAAAAATAAAAGACTAGCGTGCTGCACAAGTTCGTGCCAGTTATTGAAATATAATTAATAAATTATTTTTATTAAAAAAAAAAAACTTGTTTTAGCTCATAATTTTTAGCTATGGTTAATTAAAAAAGCCACAAAACTGCACACACTTTACTCGTATACATACGTCATAGAGCGTCATAAAAACCGGTATATACTTGTTTTTGTTTCTATTCCTTGCTAGCTAATGAGAAATACATGCATATGTATGTGTATCCACATTTGTCGCTATCAAATACTGAGAAACAGAGCTAACACACATTCAAGAATTTGTTTGTCGTTGCTTTTCTAATCGAAAACAAATTTCAAACGATCATCGTCTCGGGGACTTCCAAATGCTCATTAAACATGTGGATATGTATGTGTATGTTTGTTTATAAAAACCGCTTCGTGTTCTCTGGCCCAGCAACGGGCAAACACATTTACATTCAATTGCAATTAATCAACAAAAATTCATTGAGAATATATTCTGTGGGCCTTAAACAAAGGCAAAAATCCGAAATAAAGCAAATGCTTTGATAGAATTCAAAATTGCCTGATCGATCAGTCATGCTAGAGAGCGGACAGGTTCTAAACAGGTTAAAGGGTTTTCCTGACATGTATACAAAAGCCGTAAATACTGCACAAGCAGGTGCATTATTTATAGGCGTCAGATAATAAAAATAATTGATGTGTAAACATGTCACAACTTTTATTTGCTTGTGCTTGGCAAAAGTTTACATTACATTTACATGGTATAAACAACAGCTGAGCGTTACATGGCACAATATTTTGAACGTTGACTGTAAAGGACTGCCAGTGTGTACACACAAATCAATAATATAAATATATATAAGCGCGCGCCAGTCAAGTCTTCAATTTGACATTTGACTGCGGCGTTGCACTGCATTTAAATGCGCACCATTTGCATGTAATAACAATTAAATTTTTAAATGTGGCATTGACTTGGGGTATTTTTTTCTACTTCTTTCTTCTTCTCGATATTTAACTGCTCTCAGCGCGACAGACGCATGGCAGACATTGGCGTGGGCGCCTTGTGCACAGTACACAAACCGCCAGAGAAGAGGAAGCGTACCGAGCATAGAAACAAAAACAAACAACCAGCACATTTTTAGATAAATATAAATGTGAGGAATATGTGAAAGTAGCAAGCGAACTGTATAAATATATGTGTGTATATTACCAATACATACACATGCCATGTTTATACAATGTGTGCGCGCGCGTGTGTCTGTGTGTTTGTGTGTGTACAGCAACAAATTGAAGCGTCACAGTTGAGTGCGCGCACAAAAGAACCAAGATAGCGTGTGAGCGAGAGATAAAGAGAGCGAGAGAAGAAACGGCAGCAGCTTATCAAACATTGCTCAATGCGAGAAGATGCTCGATGCCGACGCTGCTGTTGCTGCTGCTTTTGTTGGCGCTTGAGACAAGTGAAAAAGTCAAAGGCATTGGAATGCACAATTCACAGAAAACAACAATAAGTAAAAGAAAAAAAAATATCGAAATGTACATTGTTTTTTCGAGTAACTTAATTGTTGAGACATTTTTGCTTTGGCTTCTTTCTGCTTGTTGTTTCTCATAATCTCAGCTGCATACACACACACATATGCACACATACACACAGCCACACTGACAGATTGCAAATTTGTGATTACAAATTGAGCGAATGCTTTGTGCGTAATCTTCATTTGATTAGATAATTTGTTAGTACAGGATGTGCGCATAGAACGTTGTTACACCCGTATATATTTGTATACTAATCATATTAATTAGAAGTTATTGTTAATTAATTATAATGCAGCACACAAACATACGCACACACACACTAAGGGCCTTTTGCTTGCCACGTTTTATACTCTCTCACTCTCTCTTGCTCGCTCAGATAAAGCAGGGTCGTTATTGAGCTCAAAACTCAAGCAGCTGCTTCTCTGAAGCCTATGGAATTTTTTTTGAATTTTTTTTTTTTGCAAGTTTTTCAAGCATTGAAAAGTAAACATAAAAGTAGCACGTGACATTAACATACAACATTTACATAATTAACATACATACTTTAGCACATGTGTGTGTACACTTTACTATCATTTTCTATGTAAATGTATCTACTACTATTTCTTTACTGAGTTTGCGCAGGCAAGCATCAGCATGTGGGTGTATGTGTGCATGTTTGCGTGTGTGAGTACATACATATGTCAGCCGTTTTGTGTGCGTGTGAAGGATTTTCTGAAACCATTTACATATGTACATGTATAACGAGCACAAAAAACAGCGGGCACTGATAAAAGCTCAAAGCAACGCCCATTGTGCGATATTGACAGCCAATGACTCAGAATCCATCACAGCTTTCGAGCGGTGTCAGTTAACTGCAACATGGAAACAAGCTGGCTTGAGTGCTGCTTAAACTCGCTCACTCTCTTATGTTTGCGTGTTCATTTGATCGTGAGAGCGCGCCCATAGCGTTGCCAGATATTGTAAGCCGCATGTTTTTACATGCAAATGCTGACCGTAGCTGCTCTTTATGATTTTTAATGTTTAACTTTGTACTTGGCTGCGGCTTAAAATGAATTATGCTGTTGACTTAAATTACATAAGCAATGCGATATCATTGTTGCCATGTCAAGAGCGCTATCTACAAATTTTGATACAGCACACTACGCTAATAAGCAAAGTAAATATTTAAGCCGAGCAAACTTCGCTCTTTGTTAAAAAAATTTTTTTTTTTTTTTGAGTGGGGTGTTGGATTCAAATCACAAGACTGAAATTGATGCATGACATAATAATTATGTCATTGATTTGAGTTCGTTTATCGAAAAACAATTAAAAATATTTTAGAGCCCTTTATTTAGGTGTATGCAAAAGAAGGTCTATTTTTTCGTGCATAAACATTTAGCATTGTGCTACTTTATCCGCAGCGCGTGCTTCTCTTGAGGTCTAGGTGTATGATTTCTTTGCCATGCGACAACGCAAGGTGGGTCTTATCTTATCACAGACAAGTTATTGGTAAATAAGCCCGGACCACTTATCAGCTAAGGTAATATAATAATAATACAAAAAAAAAAGATGTATGGTTTCTGATAAGCTGTATAGAAAAGAAACCCAGGCATGTGATGCCTCTTGGCTGTGTGCTATGGTCATCGAGTCGATTGATCATGCAAGGGCTGATGAGGTAAAAAGGAAAATAAAAAGTGGCATGTGATTACGCTTATTATTATGATTTCTATTGTGTTACAAACACCAACAAAGCTGCGCTCAATCATTTGTTTGTTTAGCTAAGCATGTGTTTGATGGGATATCAAATTTTGGTAACCTATATATGTCATGTTTTTATGATAAATTTTACAACGGAAATGCACGTGATGGAAAATATGCACATGATGTGTCATATTAACTGCCCTACGCTACATATACAAGTATACTATTAACATTTATTGCCTTTTTTTTGCCCGCATTTGTTATGGAAGCCACATGCATGCAGTTCTCTGCGTATTCTACATTCATCAAAAGATAAGCCAAGAAAAAATAAAATACTTCAGTATGGCAACACCAAAAAGTTGGTCTTGTGACTGTGTGAAAAGGTAAGCGCGAGTTTCGCGTCATAAACTTCACAGAAAAACCGTAACTCTGCTCTCACACTCACACACACATACACACAATAGGAAACGATGACAATGCTTGGTACAAGAGCGTGCGCAACTCTCTCTCACACACACACACATTCTCTTTCCTTTATATGCCGCTCACTTGCTGCTGTATGTGTATGAGTAATGCCGTTTTTAGCACGTTGAAAAAGAGGCAACGAATTTCTAATTTCGATGCTGCCATTTTTGTGTTTGCAATAAAGCAATTAAATGCGCATATTATCCATACAAAAATGAAATATAATTGAATATTTTTTTTTATATAATAAGCGTGTATGCTATTAACTATTCTAGCTGAAACATGGAAACGTTTTTGCTAGTCACGCGCATTTCGAACCGACTCAAACTCAAACACAAACACATGCACGATTACGCTGTGTGTGACTTGACTGTGAGCGTATTGAGTTTTTGTACACTTGCCGCCGCCTGCCGCCTACAAAAGCGCTTACATACATACAGACATGGGTACTTTTTTTTTTTTTTTGTGCTGACTAGATGTTCTTCTTCTTCTAGCATTTACGCCACAAAATGTTCGATTTTTCTACGCATGCAGCGCTGCGCGTCCCTTTTGTAAACGAATTGTGAAGTTTGCGGAAAGGTAGGTTATTTTTCATTTTGGTTTCGTTATTCGAAAGACTCACCTGAGAAGATAATGGCGGACGCAGCGCCCATAACACCGAAGAAGGGGCCATAGATGGGGTTGTCGTTGCTCGCACTTGACATTTTGCTTTGTTTTTTGTTGTGTGTTTGGGCTACAAGATGGAAATTGAAATTTGAATTCGTTTTTGTTGTTTCCTTTCGCTTATTGCACTTTGATTTCTTATGTTATGTTATGTATCGGCGTGTTTTACGTTTGCTTTGCAAGTTGAAATAAAGTATTTTTATTACATATACAATATATGTGTATATATGTATGTACAAAAAATTTTCTTGCGCTGCTTTTCGAACCACAATGCTGCTACGACAACGTACGATTTGTGAGTGAGCGCGTTGTGAGAGACAAAGAGCAATACACTCACCGCTCGCCTCACAATTATTGAATTTTATCTCGAGTTTTTGAGTGCGTCGCTGAGAGCCCTTATGTATGTGTGTTCGAAGTCATGTGCCTATGTGTGCGTGCGTATGAGCGCATGACGGAATGAGCTTAAATAAAAAAGTCCAATTGGCAATGACAACGCGCTGGAAAATTACGCACACACACACACACAGAGTCACATGCACACTCACATGAGTTATTTAAAACTTCATTTTCGAACACAATTGGCAATCTTTGCGCGTTTTTTTCGCGTCCAAATTTCTTTTTTTATTGACTCAAATTTGCAGAAATCTTTTACGCTCACCGCGCACACTCTCCCTCACACACACACACACACACACACACACACACACATATGGGTCGTTCATTGCCATTGGTGTGCCTGCGTGTGTGTGTATGTCGTGGCAGAAAATACTATTGTACAAATTTTTGGTACAAAATTTGCTTGTAGGTTTGCCATTTTCTGTTTGCAATTCGTCTTTATTATGTTTAAATCTTGTCGCAGCAGCATTATTGTATATTATTACATGGTTAAATCTTTTTCGATTGCTCCTCATATGACTACTGTTTTTTTTTCTTCACTCACGTGATTAGAAATCTAATTTAAAGCAACTCGCTTCTGTGGCTGGCCTTTCGGGTTTATTGCTGGCTGCTGCTGCTGGGCGACTAAAGCACGCTCTGCTTTTTGATACGGCACTGAACTCCTACGGTGCGTTTTCGTTTTCTTTTATAAACTTTAGTCACGGGGGCGGATTTTCGGCAGTGCTGCTATTTGGTTTCTTATCGATACTATTGCTTGGCGGTGTTATGCAACACTGATCCAGTGACCGACCTGGCAAAAGCGCCTTTGGTATTTTATGAGCTTAACAAATAAGTACAATTTTGTTTGGTATTTGTTTTGGATTTGGCGTAATAACATTTTGGTATTGTCGAGTAAAGTTAGTATTTTTCTAAAGCTTTTGATAACAGAGTGTTCATATTTGTAAGCAACATGCGTGGATCTTCCGCCAAACCAGCGCCAACCATTGCATTGGCAAACAATTGCTTGGTGATCAGCTGGGCCAATTCCGGTTCGCTTGTACGCAAGGAATGCAGCTTCTTTATGATGGGATGTCTGCAAGAAAAGAGCCATTCAAATGGGTATCCTAATATGACACACACTTGCTCCAATACTCACTTTGGATTAATTTCCAGCTCTGGCTGCAATAGGGCAAAACGATTCTCCTCTGGCAGCTGATGGCTTTGGGTGCGTATGAAATGTCGTGCAGCGGCCATTTCCTCGACGGTGATCACACATGGATGGGTATCCAGTCGAGAAGTAGCCTTCACTTTGGCCACCTGACCCTTGAGCTGATCCTCCAGCCAGGGTATGAGGTTATCCAGCTCGGAGCGCATTAAACTGCCCTCGCCTAAATCTTCCAGAGCAGCGGGATCTTTTGATTGATTGCGCATCTCCTTCTCCACAGAGACTAGCTTCTTGTTCTTGAACTGTCCCAGCTGCATCAGCACCAACTCATCGTAGGGCTCATAGCAGAAGAGCACAAGCTCGTTGCGCTTCTTAAGACTCTCATAGTAGGGTGAGGATTCGGCAAGCACGCGATTTGGCGCTGCCAGATAGTATATATCCTTTTGATCTGCACTAACCGATGTGTAGTAATCCTCCAGGGAAATGCGCCCAGCTTCCGATTTCGAGGATTCAAAGCGCAATAGCTTGGCAATTTCCTCCTTCTCGGCGGAATCGGTGGACGTGACAATGCCCTCCTTTAGAAACAGTCCATAGTCGCGATAGAATGCTTCATATTCTTCTGGCTGCTTCTTGGCACGCTCCTGCAGGAAGCGTACGACCCGACTAGAGATTACGCTTGACAGTTTGCGTATAAGGCTACTGTTCTGCAGCAGTTCACGGCTCAGGTTTAGGGGTATGTCCTCCGAGTCGACAACTCCTTTGACAAAGCGCAACCACTTGGGCAGCAAATGCTCCGTTTTGGACTGGATCAGCACCTTGCGCGTGTAGAGAGCAACGCCGGTGCTGCCATCACGAGACATCTCGAAGAGGCCGGGCTTGCCCTCCGGAAAATAGAGCAGCGCATGTATACTCAGTGGCACATCGGCGTTATAGTGTAGCGAGAAGCGGGGAGCATCGAAACTGTTGCTAATAAAACGATAGAAGTCCTGATGCTGCTCCTTGCTAATGCTTTGAGGATCCATTAGCCAAAGGGGCTTAATCTCATTCGCCTGCTTGCCGTTCAGCAGAATGGGTGAGCCCACAAAGTTGCTGTACTTCTTGATAACGGCGCGTATGCGATCCTCGTCGGCATATTCGCGGCAGTCGGTCTTCAAATGAAGCACAATCTTGGTGCCGTACTCCACATCCTTCACTTCCTCGATTGTATAGGTACCACTGCCATCTGTAGCCCAGCGTAGTCCAGGTGCATTGGGTGTGGCAGCACGCGTGTATACCTCAACACGCTGGGCCACAATAAATGCCGAGTAGAAACCCACACCGAACTGGCCAATTATATTGGATGTGGCCTGTGCTGCCTGATGCTCCTGCTTGAGCTGCTCCAGAAACTGTTTGGAGCCGCTGCGCGCAATAGTACCAAGATTGCTGACCAGCTCCTCGCGTGTCATACCAATGCCCGTGTCCTGGATGATCAGCTGCATCTGTGGCTTGTCTGTGGTGATGCGTATCTCCAGTGGCCGATCCTTGGCCGCCAGTTCCGATTCAGCTGTTGTTCTTAGCGCCGAATAGCGAAACTTTTCCAAGGCATCGCTTGCATTCGAGATCAGCTCGCGCACAAACACCTCGTGATCCGAGTACAAGGAGCGTGCAACAATGTCCAGCAATTGTCGTGTCTCTGCTTGAAACTCGTGCTTGTCCACGGCCGGTGCTTCATTCGCAACTGTGGCGAATCGACGTTGCGGCAACGCTGCACAGAATTTACCCATAAGCAACTACTCTACAAATTGAATGCAGTTCCTTACCTGCCGATGGCAGCTGATGTAAAGACGGCGTACTCAATGCAAAGGTCGCTGCTCGATTCGCTTCCCGGCACAGCCGGGTCAGCTGACGGGCCTTGAGTAGCACACCAAACGCACGCAGGGACATCTTGTGTTGCAATTAATGCTTCAATCAAATATTTTGCAAAAAAAAAAAAATAAATATAATTGATTGTGTCAGTTCAAACAAAAGTTGAAATATAAGTGTTATTTAACTCTCTGAGCGCACATGTGTTATGATTCTCGATAAGCTGTTATCGATTTGTTTCTCGTGGTTAACAGCACTGGTATCGATTGCGACTAGCTTTTTGAAGCTTAAAGAAACTTTTTAGCACTGTTAATTTATGTTATCATAAATGTTGGAATACAATTTTAATTTTCTAATACTTTGTCAGTTAAGAAGGGGTGTAAGTTTTTTACAAAATTCTATTATTTTGGGAATGTCCGGAACTTTTCAAAGTTCTCTAGATTCCCATCTTATCACACTTTAAATCACTTGATAATGAACAAATAACTTTTGACCCAACATCGTCTCTTATCACAATTTAGAATTTCGCATATACTTTGCCTATTTTAGCATCGTGCTATTAGTTTGTAATCTCAGTTGCTCGAAGCGGCACGTCGAATAGAATGCGCGCGTTTTTAAGAGCTTCATTTGACATTGAAATGTATCGTTATTTGTGTGCGATGTTCGTTACCATTTTTATTTTATTTCTAAGCGTTTCGTCAATCTCTGCCTCTGAAGATCACTGGGATGATCAGGTGTGTGGGGGTGGAGTGTTTGTTTTTTTTTTTATCCCATATCACAATTACTATCCCCAGTCACAATTACTGCGTTCTTTTTAACCTAGGCTCGAATCGAAAAAGAATGTGCACCGTACTGCCTGAAAGTATTTCTATGGAACACTGTGAATATGAACCAAAAGATTGAAGCCTGCGACAAAAAGAATGTGCAGATGGCGGCTCTGCAAAGCCAGTTGGCGGTTTCAAAAGCCAAGGAAACCATGTATGAGAAAACAATTAGGGATAAAAATGTTCAGTGCCAGAATGAAGATCAACTTTATGCTGATGTATCCTCAATAAAACACAAAATAGATCATATGGCAGCACAAACGCGAAACGAAAGCAAACTCTTCGAGTTATTAAAACAACTTGAAGACTACAGAGTCGCTCTAGAGCTGAAGAACGAGCAAATCAGATCTTTGGAAACAAAATTACAGATCAGCGAGTATTTATTTGAGAATTGCAAGGCAAATTTTACATCAACTCCAGCGGCTCTGATGATAATGGATAGCAAACGAGTAGCGCATCTTAAGGTATACGAAACAAGCTGCTTGCAAGCTGGAAACTCATCAGATATTCGGGAAATCCAAGTTCCGGGAACTGAACCATTTCGCGTGCCCTGCGACGGAACAATCGCTGGGTCCGGCTGGATGGTGATTCAGCGACGTGTGGACAGGAGCGTGGACTTCAATCGTGGCTGGGCTGAATATGGGACTGGTTTTGGTGATCTTGAGGGCAATTTTTTCATAGGCTTGGAAAAACTGTATCGCATGACTAGTTCACGGCCGCATGAGCTGTATATATATTTGGAAAATTTTGAAAATGAAATTCGCTTTGCTCGCTACGATAATTTTAGTATAGCTAGCGAAGAGGATGCTTATCAACTTAGAGTTTTGGGTAAATATTCCGGGAATGCTGGCGATGCCTTGTTGTTAAACAGAAACATGAAATTTACCACATTTGATCGGGATAACGACAAACGCGACTTCGATAACTGTGCAATAGAGCGACACAGTGGTTGGTGGTACAGTCAGTGCGCACGATCGTAAGTAGTTGAAAAACCAACCATAATGAAATTGACAAAATATTAAATTTTACTAATTACTCAGAAATCTGAACGGCCGATATTTTGACAGAGAGTTGGACAAATGGGAAGGCATTTGGTGGTGGAATTGGCAAGAAACGCGCACTCTCAAGTCCGTGCAAATGCTGATTAGACCAACGATCAATTCGACGGTAACGAATTGAGCCAGCATAAAATATTTAATTGTTTAAATATAAAATGTTTGAATATAATCACTAGTGTAAATATATCTATAGATACTTTTCAATTGTTTACCTTTTTCAAATATGTCGCCAATAAGTAAAATGTTGCGATATATCGATTGCTGTTTCTTAATGCGATTAACGCAGTGCGTTATCGATATAAATATATCGCTGATTTTTGCGCACAGCATTTGTTAATGTCTAAAAGCAACCCTGCTTCTGGAAGCGCGTCGTCTTCGCGTTGTGGTTGTATTTATTGTTGAGTTTTTTTTTTTTAATTTTTAACTACTATAAGTGAGTGTGCGCGCTGTATTAGTTTATAGAATGTACTATTCGTGTTGCCTTTGGATTTAAGTTAGCACAGAATGACGTCCATTGACAATGTACGTGTGCTGCTGCAGTCTCTGCCAGCAGCATCGCCTGCCGTCGGCAACAGCAACAACAATGCACAGCAAAATGAGTCGACGCCGGCTAAACTTGGCGCTGCTGCAACACCATTGCGCGCGAGAAATACCCAACAGCAGCAACAACAGCAGCAACAGCAGCAGCAGCTGCAGCTGCAGCAGTTGCAAGCACAACCACAATTTTTTTATGGCACGCCGGAAAAATCAACAACTGGGTCCACTGTTGGTGGCAAGCAGCTCAGGGCGCCGGAGGAATTCTGGCGTGATCTGCACCAGTTTCACGA